CAACAGCAAGCCTGACCCGGAACACAAGCGGTCCAGTGTTTGTCTTCTGTTCGTCTGCTTCTCTTCGTTGCCTTGTTTTGATTGTTTCATTACTGCAACTGTAAAACAAACAAACTGATCGAGATATCAAACTGATGCTGAGGTTGTTTTCCTCGCTCTTGAGCTGCTTGCAGACCAGTTCACTGTGAGTTTTATGGCGTACGTGAAGACGATAAAAAGCTTTTGTTGCTTGAGGTTCACTGATGGAAGTGTAACCTGAATCTTGATGTTAGCAGAAGTAAGATAAAAATAGCTGGGATTTGTCGGTGCTTGTAATGGTGATTCAGTATCACAGGAAGTACATATCATAATCGTACCTAGAACAACAATTTTATCAGCCCAAAAACAACGGACATTAGACCCTAGAAATTAGACATTAGAAAGGGGAATTGAGATCAACAGGAGGGAGTCCAAATCTTCTGGGAGCCTGCAACGAACTTTATAAAGGCATCCATAACAGGATAGACACACAGGCACTGCATCAGCTAATTCTTTATTACCCTATAGGTTCACGAAATAGTCGATGGCGAAGCATGCTTACGGCTAAAAGCGCAAAAGTTTGTTTTTCAGCCAGAATATGAGAATAACAGACTTTCGTTTTGAGCCCAGAATGCACTCGTCCGTCTTTAGGACCGCAAAACCGAGGACAACGTCGTTTAAAAGCGATTTTATATTTTACCTATGAATCTCAAAACTACCACGAAACTGGATCTGACACACAGCGATAAATATGAAATAAATATTATATTAGCCTTCGTGGTACACGTTCTCTAGACAACGCAGAATTTGGTCATTTCACGCTCTTCTTTTGCAGAGGACGGCAAAGAAATGTACCAAGAATTATAACACACGTGTACAGCCATTGCTCTACTTATTAAACCTTTATTAAATCGTTTGCTCCCGTTGCCGTCATTGCTTTCTAAGGCCCAGTTCAGACGTCGTGCTTCTACCGTGCCGAACTTAATTGCAATTTGGTTCGACTGTAGCACGGCAAAGAAACAACTCTGATTTAGACGTCGTGCCAGAGAGGAACCAAATTCAGCATTTACCGATGCCTCGTGACAATTCTCCTCCTAACTCCCCGTTAGAACGCAATCTCGCCAAAATACATTAATGTAATTTATGAATTAAGAATTTTGTTTAGCGTGGCAAAAGCACGACGTCTGAATCACTGCCGTGCCAGAGTCGTGTAGCACGGCAG